TGAGAAATAAATCTGTTTCATTTGAAATTAGTTGTCAAATTATGAAACCCCCATATTTTATTGGATTCAGATGCTCAATTGATGCTTTTGGGTTGATTCATAGTAGTCTCTCTAGACTATTAATAATCCCACAAAATGATGAGATTATTAAAAATAATTAAATTCTGTAACGCATTTTAACTTGAAAAGAGCACAATAATTTCATGATACAAAAAAATATGTGGAGCATATAGTGTTACTTATCCTTTTTATCCCCATATTCACATCCTGTGGAATAAACTATACATTAATGAGTTGAGTTGTGTTGAGTTGATATGGGTGATATATTGAGAAATGAGTTGGGCCAATTCACACTAGAGCTTGTATTAAGATTGCAGTTGGATTAATCTTTCACTTGATTTCAATAATTCATTTTCCACAAAACCTTTTGACTCAATTCACTCTATATCTATTAGGGCTGAGCAAGGAATCCGTGAAATCCGTAATCCGATCCAGTCCAGTCCAATCCAGTAGGTTTGGATTGGTTTTTTGAATCCGTGGTTCGGTTCCGGATTGAAAAATTAAAAATTCGTAATTCACGGATTGGTTCCGGATTGAACCCCATGGTTCCAAATTGGAACCGATCCAGACCGTAGATCGAGATGTTGGTTTTTAATAAAATTAGTATTTTAGAATCCTTTCATTAGGATTTATCAAATAAGATTCATGTTGATTATGAAATTTAAAAAAAAAAAAAAATACTATCAAAGTTTGACAGTAATATGTTACTTTGTCTGGTTCACAGTAACATTTCACTGTTACAAAAAACAGAGTACATACTAGATCAACCAATCAAAAATATACATACACAACATTTTAAACTTGTATAAAATAAAATGAAAGTGTTCATTGTCAAAAGAGTTCTGTGAGGTATAGATATGCATGAGAAATATTGTCTAAGAAAAAAAATAAGAAATTTTATTTTGTCTTTGCTCAATTATGTGCCTCCTCTTTTGGGGGTTTATGAATCAAAATAAATTGTATTGTCCTTTCCACCAAACAAGGGGTTTAATGGAGGGATTTTGGCTAAATTTCCCGTTGATTTTTATATCATTAGCTGGGTGTTTGTAATGTTGAGAGCATCAATTAAATATGAAGCTTGAATGGGCATATCTTGATTTGGATTAAATCAAATCCTACTAGAGAAAGAATGAGATATAATAGAGCATTAAGTTGACATTTTTAGGTATCCATTGAGATGCATGCAAATTGCTCTTTCAATATACTTTAATCGATATTTATAACAAGGCATAGTAATATATGTATCTGTCCTTCGTAGCTGAACTGGTTGTTTGGTTTCTGCAGATCCCCGGAGATGCTGGAGTCTCAACAGAATTGTTGTGTAATGTGAGGCAATGACTTTGCTATCATGCTTGTTTCAATTGCACTCTCTTTCCTTACATTCACATCAATAACCTTTGGCAAATATTTGTGAGAAATAAATCTGTTTCATTTGAAATTAGTTGTCAAATTATGAAACCCCCATATTTTATTGGATTCAGATGCTCAATTGATGCTTTTGGGTTGATTCATAGTAAATGATGAGATTATTAAAAATAATTAAATTCTGTAACGCATTTTAACTTGAAAAGAGTACAATAATTTCATGATACAAAAAAATATGTGGAGCATATGGTGTTACTTATCCTTTTTATCCCCATATTCACATCCTGTGGAATAAACTATACATAAATGAGTTGAGTTGATATGGGTGATATATTGAGAAATGAGTTGGGCCAATTCACACTAGAGCTTATATTAAGAGTGCAGTTGGATTAATCTCTCACTTGATTTCAATAATTTATTTTCCACAAAACCTTTTGACTCAATTCACTCTATATCTATGCATATACACAATATATAGAAGACTTCAAATAATTCTCATTTTCTTTCACAATAATTAATCCATATGCTTGGGTCACATGTTGGTGTGTCAGTTTCTATTTACTTAACATTATTATATTGTCCATAAGAAATGCATGAACAACTGACAAAAAGTAGGAACCACTTGCATGCTCTTTCATAACACCAATTCACACTTGCATATATTAGTGGTGTGTGGCTATCCGATAACTGTACTGTTAAATCTGTAAAATATAAATTTTGATTTAAACCTCAATATGAAGTTAATGAGTTTCATGAGGTGGGTCAGTTGCATGCGGATATTGTTAGTAATTCAAAAACATACAAAAATTTATTTGGCAGTGAAGCTCTGTACTGATAGATTTGATGAAGCATAATTCATAACATAGCATCCTAACTACCCAAAATCTGCTCACTTTCTCACTGTGAGACTGCTACAATTAATGTATCACCATCACTGTTACCATGTGTTAATTAAGCATGTACACAAGTGTGGGGGGAGGTTCTAAATGCACCCATTTGATTTCTCCTACACTCATCATATGCATTACGATCTTTGTACTTTATGAAGAAACACTTGTACAGAGAGAGTTGACGAGAAATTTGGTGAGTATATTTTGTAGCTCCCAGTATATTTAGCAGCTCCCACGAGTGAGTGGGTTACAAAAAATAAATAAGTAAATAAAAATCTGGTATTAATTTTCAGCTATCATTTTGATGTTACCATAATTTTGCACAAACAAGTTGTAATTTGTAACGAAATTGACGCAATAGAAATATCACATGGGATGGGATTAAATATTATTCTAGTAAACAAGGAGTTTTAAATTCATAGAAAGAAAACTTTGAATCCACATAAAAGGAAAATAATTTTTAAAAAGAAATTGAATATGATCATTGATCAAGGTACATTTTTTCATAAATTTCTTTTTACTTTACTTATATTCCATTTAGTCCACATTTTTTTTTTAATATTCTAATAAGTCCTATGAGTGACATAGTTATCAAAATACTCGTAATAATATTCATATTTACAGCGCGAATGTTTCATGATATGAATGTTTACACTGTCAATGTGAATATTCATATTGTTAATATGAATGTTCACACTATTAATGTGAACATTCACATTGTAAAATATAAATGCTCATATCACCAAATTACTAACCGTTCAAAAAATATTTGTAATGGTAGAAATGTCCATAAAATACATTAAATATGAGAATTAAGATTTAGTAGATCACATATTTAAATAATAGGGCTTATTAGAATATAACAATATCTTATAAATTAATTGAGATACAAACACTTAAAAAAAGATTTTCTAATATATCTCCCATGATCAAAAGTAATTTCTCCTCAGGCCTGTGTAACTTATTATTTATAATATATTAAACCATCCTAAGGCCTGCGTAAATTATTATTTATAATATATTAAACCATAACTCAACAAGGAAACAATCAGTTAGACTAATTCCTTACTGCACACGGAAATAAATAAATAGGAACATAAACTTATCAAAAATGAAAAATTTAAGTTAAGCTCAAATTTAAATACTAAAAAACATTAGGGCTAAAACAAACTTTCCTAAAACAGAAAAATTAATGATTTGAGGGCCTAAATGAAAGAATTTGGCTAAAATTTACTCTGCATCAAAGGGAGCTTCTATTTGCAGTCCAAAAAGTAGGTTGGACACTCCATTATTTTAAGCACCCAAATAATAAATTTGAAATTTTATTTATTTATTTGGACACCTCAAATAATATCTATCCTAACCCTAAAAATCTAAAAATCATATACACTTTTTACTTTACTTATGTTTCATTTAATTCATATTTTTTTTTATTTTATATTCTAATAAGTCTTATGAGTGACATAGTTATCAAAATACCCGTAATAATATTCATATTTACAGCGCGAATGTTTCATGATATGAATGTTCACACTGTCAATGTGAATATTCATATTGTTAATATGAATGTTCACACTATTAATGTGAACATTCACACGTCAATGTGAATATTCACATTGTAAAATATGAATGTTCATATCACCAAATTACTAACCGTTCAAAAAATATTTGTAATGGTAGAAATGTTCATAAAATACATTAAATATGAGAATTAAGATTTGGTAGATCAAATATTTAAATAATAGGACTTATTAGAATATAACAATATCTTATGAATTAATTGAGATACAAACACTTAAAAAAAAATTTTCTAATATATCTCCCAGGATCAAAAGTAATTTCTCCTAAGGCCTGTGTAAATTATTATTTATAATATATTAAACGATAACTCAACAAGGAAACAATCAGTTTAGACTAATTCCTTACTGCACACGGAAATAAATAAAAAGGAACATAAACTTATCAAAAATGAAAAATTTAAGTTAAGCCCAAATTTAAATACTAAAAAACATTAGGGCCAAAACAAACTTTTCTAAAACAGAAAAATTAATGATTTGAGGGCCTAAATGAAAGAATTTGGCTAAAATTTACTCATCGTTTGGGAACAGACTATTTTAATAATTTTTTGGCTTTTTACGAAAATATGTGCAGAAAAGTAGAGAGGTGATGTGACTAGTTTTAGTTAACTTTTTGACTTTTTGACTAAAATAGTCAGTCCCCAAACGAGGCCTGCATCAAAGGGAGCTTCTATTTGCAATCCAAAAGGTAGGTTGGACACTTCATTATTTTAAGCACCCTAATAATAAATTTGAAATTTTATTTATTTATTTGGACACCTCAAATAATATCTATCCTAACCCTAAAAATCTAAAAACCATATACAAATCTGCTTTGTACACCCCATTACCAATAAACAGAGGAACAAAAACCACATTTGGGACTTCTGGAATTGCAAGGGACGAAGAGAGATTCTGAATTTAAAGAGGAATTCCGAGACGAAGTGGGTCTCTGCTCCTCTACACAATCCGCTCATCGGAGTCATTTTGTTTAACCGGAGAATTTGGGGGTTTGAACAATGTAATCCATTAATCAATATATATATATATATATTGAATTTATGGTTTATATCATTTTTTTTGTTTGTTGTATTATGTTTTTCTTTTCTTTTTTGTTCCTCATGTTTTGTGATTTTTATTAGTTTACCGAAACAATATTTAGATATTACTTATTCATCCTGGCATGTTGATGGTTTCAGTTGTTTCATACGGATACTCAGTATCCAAGAAAATATATTTGTCCGAATACTTAATTTCAAACATGTGAAGTTTGTTCGGAAACTTTAGTATCGAACACAAGAAAATTGGTTCCAGTTGTTTCATATGGATACTTAGTGTTGAAAAAAATATATTTATCTAGATACTTAATTCAAAACATGTGAAGTTTGTTCGGATACTCAATGCCGAATCAATTCAAAAAACTAAGTTACGAGAAATGATGAACAACAGGTAAAAACTAACTTTCTCTATAGAAAATTGTTGGGAAATGTCTTATTTATTGTTCATTATTAATTTCAATATGAAATAGAATGCAAGAATAATCGATTAAAGCAAATAGGATTGGGTTAGAATTTGGTATGAAAATGCAAAGTGATAAAAGTAGAAAGAGAAGAGAGGAGGAATATTGGGACCGATGATGAATGGATTGTCAAAAACACTTTTGTTTATGCTTTTTCCAAAATCAATTACTTTTGGTAATTAAAATAAGAAATTAATAGTAATAAAAAATATCATTAAATTAGGGTGCCCAACCTACTTTTTTAGAATGCAAATAGAAACTCCTCACATCAAAGGATTCTGACTCGTGGTAAATTACATTTCTACCCTTAATTGGACTTCTGTTATCTTTTGTTGGTCCAATAATTTGAATAACTTTTTAACTACTTGCTCCACATCAAAAAATTATATAATTTGAAGGGTCTAACTTTTGGTGATTGTGGCTGCAGAATTATCTGAGTCCCACTTAGGTCATTAACAATTCCAAAGAAGTATTCTTTCTTTGTTGTTGAAACTCAGACCAAGTTGCCTTTGAATGATTGATTTTAATGGGTCCTTCAATGTCTCCTTTGTTTGGTCAAAATTTACCGCACAAAGTGCGATGCTTACTTTTTTATTTTTTTTTTCTTTAATCGAATCATTAGTGCTTAGAAAAGTACATTTGCAATTACTTTTGGGAAATGCCATACAATTTAAATGCGCAAATACTACAATTTTGATGGTGTCATTTGACTTCATGTAGAACTGTCTTTGTCAATGTTTTAAAATAAATATTATTTACTACAGGATTTATATCATATTTTTATTTTATTTTTTATGTATATTCATATTTTAAAAATCATATGCATGTGTAAAACTTATTATATTTAAAAGTTTTTTTATTATATGAAAGACTACACAAGAAAGTGATTAGTATGATGTATAACAACCTTCCAGTTTTTATTGCTTCATGGTGTAATGCTATATATATATAGGAAAATGTCTTGTAACTCAAATTTTGTGGCTCAAAAGTGGTTCAAATGGTCAAAACGACGTCGTTTTGGCCATTTTTATGTTGTTCTGTACTCAAAACGACGTCGTTTTGGCCATTTGAGCCACTTTTGAGCCATAAAACTTGAGTTACGTAGCATTGTCCATATATATATATATATTTATAATAATTACAAGAGATTATCGTTTTTACCATATTTTAACTACAGGGGG